TTGGGAATTGTTGGGAGCAGTGGAGGCTTCTCCTGCATCCTTCCATGGATGCTCCTGGGTGCTGTTTCTCCCCGTCCCAGCTCCACTGTGGGACACTATCTCAGCACCTGAGGCTTGGGAGAGGTTGAGCTGCAGTTCTGCCCCTTCAGAACCCTTTATCTCCTGGGGGGGTTCAGGGAGACGCTTGGGGTACCCCATGGGCTGGGGCAGCAGCTGGGATGTGCTGCCTGCGCTGTGGCTCTGCTCTCACTGCCTGTGTCTCTGCCTGCAGGTTCTTGCCTACTTCACCTTCTGCCTCTGGTTAATCCCTTTTGCTTTCTTCGTCTCCTTGTCGGCTGGGGAGAACGTCCTGCCCTCCACAGTGCAGCCTGGAGGTGAGTGATGGCCTTCCTCAGGGCTCTGGGCTCAGCACAGCCCAGTGCACACCCCATTCCTGCAGCGTGGAGCAGGGGCAGGCTGCAGCACGTGGGGTAAACCCTTCCAAAGCCAAGGCAGGGAAAAGGGTGAGGGGTGAGTGAGCAGAATGAGGGGTTCTTCCTGCTCCCCATCCTGCATCTCTCCTGTTGCTTTCTGTGGACTCTCCCTGCAGCTCAAAACAGGGAGCTCAGGATTTGGGCTCCCTGTCAGTGGCGTATGGGAGCGTCAGGTAGGGTAGGTGGAGGCAAACCAGCAACTTCCATGCTTTAAATGCAGCCAGATGGAAGCAAACCAGTCACTTCCATGCTTTAAGGGCAGCTGGATGGGAACAAACCAGCAACTTCCATGCTTTAAATGCAGCCAAATGGAATCAAACCAGTAACTTCCATGCTTTAAATGCAGCCAAATGGGATCAAACCAGTAACTTCCATGCTTTAAATGCAGCCAAATGGGATCAAACCAGCAACTTCCATGCTTTAAATGCAGCCAAATGGGATCAAACCAGTAACTTCCATGCTTTAAATGCAGCCAAATGGGATCAAACCAGTAACTTCCATGCTTTAAGGGCAGCCAAATGGGATCAAACCAGTCACTTCCATGCTTTAAGGGCAGCTGGATGGGAACAAACCAGCAACTTCCATGCTTTAAGGGCAGCCAAATGGGATCAAACCAGCAACTTCCATGCTTTAAATGCAGCCAAATGGGATCAAACCAGTAACTTCCATGCTTTAAGGGCAGCCAAATGGGATCAAACCAGTAACTTCCATGCTTTAAGGGCAGCCAAATGGGATCAAACCAGTAACTTCCATGCTTTAAATGCAGCCAAATGGGATCAAACCAGTCACTTCCATGCTTTAAGGGCAGCTGGATGGGAACAAACCAGCAACTTCCATGCTTTAAGGACAGCCAAATGGGATCAAACCAGTAACTTCCATGCTTTAAGGGCAGCTGGATGGGAACAAACCAGCAACTTCCATGCTTTAAGGGCAGCCAAATGGGATCAAACCAGTAACTTCCATGTTTTAAAGGAAGCCAGATGGGATCAAAGGAGCAGCTCCCATACTTTGAAGGCAGATCATGCATTTCAGGCCCTGAAACCACCCCCATCCCAGGGTGCTGTTTGGTGGTTGATTTTGCTCCCCTTTATCTCCACAGACGACGTGGTCTCCAACTACTTCACCAAGGGGAAGAGGGGGAAGCGCTCTGGGATCCTCCTCATCTTCTCTTTCATCAAGGAGGCCATCCTGCCCAGCCGACAGAAGATCTACTGAGCAGGGATGCTGCCCTGAGGGAGCGGGGCAGCCCCAGACTGTGCAGGGGGCCATGGGGCAGCAGCACTGACCCCAGGCCTCTCACTCCATCCCTCCTTAGTGTATCCCAGCGGGATTTTCCTGGGAAGTGCTGCTGGGAACGCTGGCACCGGGCACTGACTGCAGGGACCGGATGCAGAGGGAGGGTTCCATCCAGCTCCAGGACTGCGTGCAAGGAGGATGCTTGGTTGCAGCTGAGCACAAGGAGGGTCCAAGCTCCCCTCCCTGGCACTGCCCACCTCGCAGGGCTCTACAAGCAGGAGCTGGCACGTGGGGTGGTTTGGCAGCAGGACGTGCTCGCCGTTGAACTGAGGTTTACACAGAGCCATTCATTAAAGAGAGAATAAAGCGAGCCAAGTGTCCAGCTCCCCACAGATTCCCACTGGGAATGAGGATGCTGGTGTGTCCCGTCCCCCCCAGCGCTCTGTGGCTGTGGGGGGGTGACCTGAAGCTCTCAACCTGGTGCCTTGGGTGATTGTGGTGCTGGAAACGGCCGCTTCTCTCCTCTCTCTGGCCCTGGGAGTGTGTTTCATGGAGGGTGATGCTCTCCATGGGGAGCAAGACACGGAGTGAGTTCCTGCAGCTTCCCGTGGGTGTCATCCCTCGGCATTCCCGGTGCTGCTGCACATCCCAGGCCTCCCCCTTTCCAAAAGGGGGGAAGATCCGGATGATCACAGTGAGAAGGAGGTGAAGCTTTGCTCTTTGTTCCTTATAAACCCCCCTTTTTCCATGGTTTCACCTCCAGCCTGCGCCAGGCTTGATGTCCCCGTGGTACCCAGCAGGCAGGGCTTGGTGCTGCTCCTCTTTCATGGCTTGGGAAGGCTTCTTGAGGAATTCCTTAGGACCACGGCTCATTGTGGCCAGTTTTGGCTGATGGCAAAGGTGAGGCAGAGCCCCCCTGCCCCTGGCTGGGTGTGCTGATGGTGAGCTGAGAGGATGGGGTTTGTTTGAGAGCTGCTCCTCTAATAACGGCTATGGCTGAAGTTCTTCCCAGCGGCTGCTGCGGCAGCATCCCTGCAGCTCGCAGGGGCTGGGCTCCATCACACAAGGGCATCACCCTCTGCATTCATTGCTCCTGGGCTTTATGGGGTTAGAGAACCCCAGAGAGGAGAGGAGAGGTGTTGAGGGGACCCGGAGGTGCCCCTGGGGGGATGCAGGCGGGCGGGATGCAGGTAGCTTCCCCACAGAGCTCTTGTTGGGGGCTCGGAGAAGCGAAGGCAGAAGCACTGGAAGCAAAGCCGAGCTGAGGAGCAGCTCCTGGACCAGCTGCTCGCAGCGCTGGGGCTGTAGTTTTGCTCCCAGGGCACACATGGGGGATGCAGGGAATGTCCCCTGTTCCCTGCCCTGGCTCCCCGCTGCCTGGGCCGGCAGTGGGGTGAGCCCGATGCTTTTGTCCCTTCCCTGAGGGACAGGGTTGAGCGTTCCTCGATCTTGGGAGTGCCTTCCCTGTGAGGGTGCTGAGGTTGGGAATGCTCCATCCCTGGCAGTGCTCAGGGCCAGGTTGGACACAGGGGCTTGGAGCAAGCTGCTCCAGTGGAAGGGGTCCCTGCCTGTGGCAGGGGTTGGAGCTGGAGGAGCTTTAAGGTCCCTCCCTTATCCATGCCCTGATTCCCTGATCCTATTGAAGCTGTAAGGTGATGTTTCCAGCCCGGAGGAGGGGATGGCTGCAGGGATGCTCCTGGCTGTGTGTTCACAGCTCCCCTCCAAGCTGCGCTTCACAGTTTCCATCGCCTCGGGCGCAGGCAGATGGAGCAGGGCTGGGGAGAGCCCAGAGCCACTGCTGGGAGCGGAGGAGGAGCCTTGGGCTGGGGATGAAGCTTGGTTCCTGCTCTCTGAGCATCCTGCAGGAGCCATGGCAAACTCGGGAGCAGGGCGCTTCCTGCGGGATGCAGAGCTCCAGGGCTGCTCAGGCAGTGCTGAGGATGCACGGGGGGAAGATGAGCAGCTTTAACGCCCCTCTGATGGAGTCTCTTTGATCCCTGTTGCCACGGCCTTAGCCAGCACGGATCACTGTGCTTTTCCAGCTGCCAAATCCCGTTTTCCATGGCTACGGCTTGTGGCCACGGGGTGTGGGAGCTGTTATGGACACCCGTTTCCTGGAGCGGAGCCACATCCAGGTAAATCCCGTTCCCTGCGTGATGGGAGGGAAACCCAAGGGACGGCTGAAGCTGGAACCCTGTGAGTATTGAAAGGAGGGGATGAGGAAAGCCCCCCCTGTGGTTGCAAGGGGAGAAGGTGAGGCCGTGGGGGCTGTGAGGACCACGCTCGTCTCCTGCCTTAAGATGGGAGGTTTGGGGCTGGATTTGCTCAAAGCACCTCGTTCCCCACCCTAAACCCCGGGAATCCCGGGAGATGTGGTGGATAACATTGGAATCTCTCGTTATTCCCAGGGCTGGGCCAAGGATGCTCCAGAGCCCACCTGTGAAGGGTGTGCAAGGAGCTCTGCCTTATACAGGAGCTGGGATTACTCCTTTGATGGAGCACTTACAAGGTGAGCGTTAATGCAGAGCTGCCCCCCAAGCATCTCTGCCTGCAGAGGCTCCGGAGCAGCCTCATCCCCATCCCACGGGAACGGAGCCCATTGATTTTCCTGGGTGTTTGGAGGCTGCAGCCCCATGAGTGACAGAGCTGGGGGGTGACATTTCCAATGGCGCCAGGTGGGGCCGTGGAATCATGGAATGGGTTGGGTTAAAGGGGCCTTAAATCCCATCCAGCTCCAAGCCCTGCCACGGGCAGGGACCCCTTCCACTGGAGCAGCTTGCTCCAAGCCCTGTGTCCAACCTGGCCTTGAACACTGCCAGGGATGGGGCAGCCACAGCTTCAACCCCTTCCCATGTCCCACCGCCCTCAGAGGGGAGAACTTCCTTGTATCCCATCCAACTCTTCCCTCTTCCACTTGGAAGCCCAAACTCCTCATCCCATCCCTGCATCCCTTGTCCCCAGCCCCTCTCCAGCTTTCCTGCAGCCCCTTCAGGCACTGGAGCTGCTCTCAGGTCTCCCCTTCAGGAGCCTTCTCTTCTCCAGGCTGCCCCAGCCCAGCTCTCTCAGCCTGGCTCAGAGCAGAGCTGCTCCAGCCCTCGCAGCAGCTCCTCCAACCCCAGCTCTCGTCGATGGTGACCAGGGGGGTGCTTGCTGCTGAGCTCCTGCAGCAGCAGCCTCAGCACCCTCATGCTCAAAGCAGCTCATAGCTGGAGCACGAGGGGTTTCAGTTCCCCCTGAGCCTGCCTTGCGGCCGGGGCAGGACCAGTCCTGCCCGGAGCTGGGGCTCAGCCCCCATCGTCACTGGTGACATCGGGGTTTCACTTCCCTGCCCCAGGTCCCAGCTGCGCTCCAGGGTGCTGGCTCCCACCGGCCCCACGCCATGGCCTGGGCTGCAGAAGGCACGGGGCAGCTCACAGGTGAGGTCCCTTCCCTGCGCTGAAGGATGCGATGGGCTCACGCACGGGTCGGGCAGCCCATGGTGGGGTGGTTCTGGCTGCGACCGTCACCATGGCCTCTGGGCTCACGGATCCTTTGCAAAGGGTGAAACCAGCCCTGAACTGGGCTTGGGGGAAGGGGGGGGGTTGTTCCTCTGCTCAGCTCCATTGCAAGGGGGTGAAAGACCAGGGGGGTGTATTTAGGTGGACTGGCAGCTCCCATGTGTGATGTGCCTTTGTCCATCCCCTCTTGCATGTATCCATCCTGCCATCCATCCCTCCATCCACCCCTCCATCCACCCCTCCATCCACCCCTCCATCCACCCCTCCATCCACCCATCCCTCCATCCATCCCTCCATCCACCCCTCCATCCACCCATCCACCCATCCATCCATCCATCCATCCCTCCCTCCATCCATCCCTCCATCCACCCCTCCATCCACCCATCCGTCCATCCATCCATCTATCCATCCATCCATGCATCCATCCATCCATCCACCCCTCCATCCACCCATCCATGCATCCATCCATCCATCCATCCATCCATCCATCCATCCATCCATCCATGCATCCATCCATGCATCCATCCATCCATCCATCCATCCATGCATCCATCCATGCATCCATCCATCCATCCATCCACCCATCCATCCACCCCTCCATCCACCCATCTATCCATCCATCCATCCCTCCATCCACCCATCCATCCATCCATCCATCTATCCATCCATCCATGCATCCATCCATCCATGCATCCATCCATCCATCCAGCCCTCCATCCACCCATCTATCCATCCATCCATCCATCCATCCATCCATCCATCCATCCATCCATCCATCCATCCATCCATCCATCCATCCCTCCATCCATCCCTCCATCCACCCATCTATCCATCCCTCCATCCATGCATGCATCCCTCCATCCCTCCCTGTGCTGCTCAGTGCCCATCCCAGCTCCTCTTTAGGGTGTTTTCATGCTCAAAACAACTTCATCTCACAAGAGCCAAGGCCCTGGGGAGCAGCGTTTGCACATCCAAGCCCCACAGTTGGCACTTGGGGTCCCTGTGCAGCTCCCAGTGAGGGCTCCTGGTGCCCGGTGGGTGCCATGGGGACCCCCAGCCCATGCCAGCATTGCAAGGTCCCAGCAGCCGGTGCCTGGGTTACAAACTGGGGGTGGGATTTAGATTCCAGAGGGAATTCCCGGCCAGATTCCAGCTGTTATGGGAAGGGTCGGTGGCAGGGGCTGGATTCCTGCCTCACCAAGGGGGATGCCGGAGCACTAGGGGACAAGGGACCCGCATGCAGCCATGGAGCATCCCAGTCCCCACCACTGGGCACCACCCAGCGATGGTCCCATGGGGATGTGCTCCTCAGTGGGGTCTCCCCCCCCCAAACCATTCACCCCAGTGCCATGGGGCTGCTTCAGTGAGGGGAAGCTTGGTGATGCTGGGGGCTGTCCCAGTGTCCCCCCGTGTCCCCCATCAGCCAAGCCCATCCAGGCGCCTCTTGGCCTCACCAGCAGGATGCTCAGGGATGGCTTTCCCAGCACCTGGCAGGGATGTTGGCAGCGGGGGCATCACCAGCTCATGGGGCAAGGGGGGCTCAGCCCCTCTGCTCATAGAGCAGGGTGAGGAGAGCAAAGGGCTCAGGCACCTCCCGGGGTTCCTCCTATGCTGGGGACCTCCTGGTGCCTCTGGTTCCTCTGCAGCCATCCTGGAGTCGGGCAGCAGCGAGGAGGAGGAGGAAGAGGAGGAGGAGGAAGAGGAAGAGGCAGCCGTGGTGCAGGTACCGCTCCCAGCTCCCCATAGGGATACAGTGGGGGTCCAGCCCCGGCTCTGTGCCGGGCACCGGTGCCGTCACCGGTGTCGCGGTCCCAGCGGTGCCAGCGCGGCAGCATCCGGTGGCTCAGGGCTGGGTGCGAGCAGGGAGCCCGGAGCCAATGGAATGCCAGGGGAACGCTGTGCCAGTGCAGTGCCAAGGCGATGCGGTGCTAATGGAATGCCAGTGCAATGCCATGCTAATGGGATGCCATGCTAATGGGATGCCAGTGCAATGCCATGCTAATGGGATGCCATGCTAACACAATGCCATGCTAATGGGATGCCATCCCAGCAGAATGCCAACACAACACCTATGCAACACCCCACCAACACAGTGTTCTGCTAATGCAATTCCATGCCAAAACAATTCCACACCAAGACAATGCTGTGCCAAAGCAGTGCCAGGCCGACATAATGCCGTGCCATTGGAATACCATCCCAAGCCAATGCCATGCAACAGGATGCTGACCCAACTCAATGCCATCCCAACATAGTGCTGTGCCAATGCAATGCCATGCCAATGGAATGCTGAGCCAATGGAATGCCATCCACAGTGCTGTGCCAATGCAATGCCATGGCAATGGAATGCTGAGCCAATGCAATGCCATGGCAATGGAATGCCATCCCAACACAACGCTGTGCCAACACAAAGCCATCCCAATGCAATGCCATGCCAATGGAACACCATCCCAGCACAGTGCTGTGCCAATGCAATGCCATGCCAATGGAATGTCATCCACAATGCCATGCCAATGCAATGCCATCCCAACACAGTGCTGTACCAATGCAATGCCATGCCAATGCAATGCCATCCCAGCACAGTGCTGTGCCAATGCAATGCCATGCCAATGCAATGCCATCCCAGCACAGTGCTGTGCCAATGCAATGCCATGCCAATGGAATGCCATCCCAGCACAGTGCTGTGCCAATGCAATGCCATGCCAATGGAATGTCATCCACAATGCCATGCCAATGCAATGCCATGCCAATGGAACACCATCCCAACACAGTGCTGTGCCAATGCAATGCCATGCCAATGGAATGCCATCCCAGCACAGTGCTGTGCCAATGCAATGCCATGCCAATGGAATGTCATCCACAATGCCATGCCAATGCAATGCCATGCCAATGGAACACCATCCCAACACAGTGCTGTGCCAATGCAATGCCATGCCAATGGAATGCCATCCCAGCACAGTGCTGTGCCAATGCAATGCCATGCCAATGCAATGCCATCCCAGCACAGTGCTGTCCCAATGCAATGCCATGCCAAGGCAATGCCATCCCAGCACAGTGCTGTGCCAATGCAGTGCCATCCAAGCTGGTGCTGTTCCACTGCAATGCCAGTGCAACGCTATCCCAACACAAAGCCATGCCAAGGCAGTGCCGTGCCAATGGAATTCCAGGTGTGTTTTCCCCCCACAGCATCCCCGCCATGGCCAGGAGCTGGGTGAAGCTGAGCAGCGCCTGGCTGAGCTGGAGCAAGGTGAGCCCCGTCCCATCAGCGCCGCATCCTGCCCCGGTCCTGTGCCTTGGGGCGACCTCAGCCCTCCGTGGAGCCGGTGCTGATGGAGCCGGTGGGAGGGTGCAGTGGGGACCTGAGCCGGTGCCTGCATCCATCCCGCGCCCCTGCAGCATCCCAGGCGCTGCTGGCCGAGCTCTCGGCGCTGGAGACCGAGTTTGAGATCGAGCGGACGTGTCGGGAGCGAGCCGAGACCTACGCGGCGCAGGTGGGGCTGGGCTCCAGCACCCTGCCAGGGTCACCCTGCAGCAGCCTGGGGGTGCGAGGCTGCGGCTGCATCCCCACAGCACCCAGGGCAGCACCCACCTGGATGCTGCGAGGGCTGGAGCAGCTCTGCTCTGGAGCCAGGCTGGGAGAGCTGGGCTGGGGCAGCCTGGAGAAGAGAAGGCTCCTGAAGGGGAGACCTGAGAGCAGCTCCAGTGCCTGAAGGGGCTGCAGGAAAGCTGGAGAGGGGCTTGGGACAAGGGAGGCAGGGATGGGATGAGGGCTTCCAGCTGGAAGAGGGAAGAGTTGGATGGGATACAAGGAAGTTCTTCCCTGTGAGGGCGGTGGGACATGGGAAGGGGTTGAAGCTGTGGCTGCCCCATCCCTGGCAGTGCTCAAGGCCAGGTTGGACACAGGGGCTTGGAGCAAGCTGCTCCAGTGGAAGGGGTCCCTGCCCGTGGCAGGGGTTGGAGCTGGATGGGATTTAAGGCCCCTTCCAACCCAAAGCCTTCCATGGCTCCATGATCCCACCCCAGGTGAAGCAGGAGAACAAGCAGCTGAAGAGGCTCAGCCTGGCCCAAGCAGCCCCTGAAGTTCTGCTCGAGGAGGTGCCCCCTGAGGAGGACCCTGACCCTGCCCATTGCTATGAGCAGCAGCTTGAGGGTGAGCCAGGGTGATCCCATCCCCACCCCATCCCCATCCCACCCCATCCCCATCCCATCCCCATCCCATCCCATCCCATCCTATCCCATCCCCATCCCATCCCCATCCCATCCCCACCCCACTCCCATCCCATCCCCATCCCACCCCATCCCCATCCCACCCCATCCCCATCCCATCCCCATCCCATCCCCATCCCATCCCCATCCCACCCCATCCCATCCCCATCCCATCCCCATCCCATCCCCATTCCATCCCCACCCCACCCCCATCCCATCCCCATCCCACCCCATCCCCATCCCATCCCCATCCCCATCCCACCCCATCCCCATCCCATCCCCATCCCCATCCCCATCCCCATCCCATCCCCATCCCCATCCCCATCCCATCCCACCGCCATCCCCATCCCATCCCCATCCCATCCCATCCTATCCCATCCCCATCCTACCCCATCCCCATCCCCATCCCACCCCATCCCCATCCCCATCCCATCCCCATCCCATCCCCACCCCACCCCCATCCCATCCCCATCCCCATCCCATCCCCATCCCCATCCCCATCCCATCCCCATCCCATCCCCACCCCACCCCCATCCCCATCCCATCCCCATCCCACCCCCATCCCCATCCCATCCCCATCCCCATCCCATCCCAACCCCATCCCATCCCCATCCCATCCCCGTCCCATCCCCACCTAGAAGCAGCACAGCACCAGCCCCATCCCGGGGTTGCCTAAGCTCGGCTCAGCCTGGCCCTGGCGTTTGGGTTGTTCCTGGTCCTTGTTCCGGATAAACAGGAGAAAGTGAATCTGAAGCCAGAGGGAAAAGCTGAACTGAAAGTGCTGCTGCCCAGCTTCCCTCTTTCCCATCCTGGTTTCCCACCCCGTTTCCCTCTTCTGCCTGGGTTTGTGTCCGTACCTGGAGATGCGCCCTCAGGGACCCCCCTTCCAGCCAAACCCTCCCTTGGGATCATCCAAGCTCTTTTCCCATGGGTTGAGGATGCTCAGGGCAGCTTTGGGCAGGAGAAGGGTGCTGAGCACAGCCCAGGTGCCCTGGGCTCGCTCTTCCACCCCATTGCCCCTGCCTCACCTCCCCGCCTCAGCTTCCAGCAGGACGGGGGTGAGCTGGGGAGGTCCCTGTGGCATCCCAGCCCCAGGGATGGGCTCTGCGCTCCCCATTCCCACCCCGCATTCCCTGCGCTCTGCCCCCAGCCCTGCAGAACAAGGTCTCGTGGCTGCTGGAGCAGCGCAAGGACCTCAGCAGCCAGATCCAGGAGCTGCAGCGGCAGAAGCAGGACCTGCAGGACCAGGTACCCAATGGGACCCCCCCCAATGGCACCTCCCAGCCCTTCCCCTCCATCCTCACCCCCTGCTCATCCCTGCAGCTCCTCACTGAGCTCAGGGGTTGGATCCAACCCTTCATCACCTCCCTGATGTCCCGGGGGTGATCCCATGGGGGGACCCCCTGGATGATCCCGGCCCCTGTCCCGCTGCAGCTGGAGCTGGGGCAGGAGGAGCAGCAGCGCCTGCGGGCGGCCCTGGGCACCAGCCAGCGGGCGCTGAGGTCCTTCAAGAGAGGTGAGATGGGTGCCGGGTGCCCCAGTGCCACCCAGTGCGGGGGAGCCGGTGATGGCGACGGATGGCGCTGGGGCCTGGGTGTCCCCACATGGTGCCGAGGTGCTGGGGTGCCGTGGACCCCCTGAGACCTCGCTGTCCTGCAGTGTCCCACATCATCACCCAGGACTACTGCGAGGCCGTGCAGCAGCTCGAGCTGGAGCAGGACCTGCGCCTGCATGCAGAAGCCTTCGCCCATGAGGTGCAGGCAGGGCCCGGGGCACCCTGGCCATGGGTGCTGGGGGGGGGGGGGGGGAAGGCACCCATGGGGGGGGAGAGCAGCGGGGTGCTGCTGCCGCCGGCGTCCCTCAATGGGAGCTGGAGATGGGATATTGGGAAGCTCTTCCCTGGGAGGGTGCTGAGGCGCTGGCACAGGGTGCCCAGAGAAGCTGTGGCTGCCCCATCCCTGGCAGTGTTCAAGGCCAGGTTGGACACAGGGGCTTGGAGCAAGCTGCTCCAGTGGAAGGGGTCCCTGCCCGTGGCAGGGGTTGGGGGTGGATGGGATTTAAGGTCCCTTCACCCCAAACCTCTCTGATTCAGTGATGGAGACACCCCGATATTCCGGCACCAAGGGGATGGGGATGCTCGGGGTCACCCATCGCAGCTCCCTGGGCTGGGATCCCGTGGGTTTCACTCCCAGCCTCCGGGGCAAGGGCAGCCAAGCCCATTGCCCACGGCAAAGGGAGCTCCTCCTGCTCCGGGCCCGCTGAGCCCCCGTCCCCATGGCAGATGCTGGTGCAGAAGAAGGAGGCGAAGCGGCAGAGCTTCATCCTGCTGCAGGGCACGGGGCCCAGCGCCCAGCTGCTGGCGGCACTGCAGGACGTGGGGAGCCTCACCCGGGAGCTGGAGGAGGCCAGGAGGGAGCAGCGCCAGAGGGTCAGGGCTGTCCCCAAGGGGTGACAATGGGGGTGACACGGGGGTGACATAAGGGTGACAATGGGGGTGACAATGGGGTTACATAGGGGTGGCAATGGGGGTGACATGGGGGTGACAATGGGGGTTACATAGGGGTGGCAATGGGGGTTACATAGGGGTGACAATGGGGGTTACATAGGGGTGACAATGGGGGTTACATAGGGGTGGCAATGGGGGTGACACGGGGTGACGTAGGGGGTTACATGGGGTGACAATGGGCGTGACAATGGTGGTGACATAGGGGTGGCAATGGGGGTGACACGAGGGTGACATAGGGGTGGCAATGGGGGTGACATAGGGGTGGCAATGGGGGTGACAATGGGGGTGACACAGGGGGTTACATAGGGGTGACAAAGGGGGTGACATAGGGGTGGCAATGGGGGTGACATAGGGGTGGCAATGGGGGTGACACAGGGGGTTACATAGGGGTGACAAAGGGGGTGACATAGGGGTGGCAATGGGGGTGACACAGGGGGTTACATAGGGGTGACAAAGGGGGCGACATAGGGGTGGCAATGGGGGTTACACAGGGGGTTACATAGGGGTGACAAAGGGGGTGACATAGGGGTGGCAATGGGGGTGACATAGGGGTGGCAATGGGGGTGACACAGGGGGTTACATAGGGGTGACAAAGGGGTTGACATAGGGGTGGCAATGGGGGTGACATAGGGGTGGCAATGGGGGTGACACAGGGGGTTACATAGGGTTGACAATGGGTGTGACACAAGGGTGACATGGAGGTGGCAATGGGGGTTACACAGGGGGTTACATGGGGGTGACATAGGGGTGGCAATGGGGATGACATGGGGGTGACACAGGGGGTTACATAAGGATGACATGGGGGTGACATAGGGGTTATACAGGGGTGACACAGGGGTGACACAGGGGGTGACATAGGGATGGGTCACGGCACCGCGCTGGTGGAGGTTCCTGTGGGTGCAGGAACTGGATGTGACCAGGATCAGCCCCCCACATCATGCCCATCCCACTCCGGTGCCCAACATGGGGAGGTTCTTCCAGACCCCCATCACCCTCTCCATGCCCATCCCATGCTGGTACCCAGCCATGAGGGGTTGTTCTCCAGACCCCTCCATCACCAATCCATGCCCATCCCATGCTGGTACCCAACCGTGAGGGGTTGTTCTCCAGACCCCTCCATCACCAATCCATGCCCATCCCATGCTGGTACCCAACCGTGAGGGGTTGTTCTCCAGACCCCTCCATCACCAATCCATGCCCATCCCATGCTGGTACCCAACCGTGAGGGGTTGTTCTCAGACCCCTCCATCACCAATCCATGCCCATCCCATGCTGGTACCCAACCATGAGGGGTTGTTCTCCAGACCCCCATCACCCTCTCCATGCCCATCCCATGCTGGTACCCAGCCATGAGGGGTTGTTCTCCAGACCCCCATCACCCCCTCCATGCCCATCCCATGCTGGTACCCAGCCATGAGGGGTTGTTCTCCAGACCCCTCCATCACCAATCCATGCCCATCCCATGCTGGTACCCAGCCATGAGGGGTTGTTCTCCAGACCCCCATCACCCCCTCCGTGCCCATCCCATGCCTGGTTCCCAAACAGGCCGTTCTTCCATGGGTTTCCACCAGCACTGTCGGGTCCCATGGCTGGGGTACCACACAGTGGGGTTAGCCCCCACCCTGGGTTAGCACCCCCAAGCTGCCACCACCCAGCCCACAGTCGCCCTCACCATAGCTTGAAGCTCCTTGCAAGTGGCCAATGTGGGTCGTGGAGCCCCCATGGCCCCAACAGGGCCAGCACCGTGGTCCCAGCTCCAGCACCCCCATTCCCGTAGGTGCAGGAGCTGGAGGAGGAGCTGGGGAAGCGCCCGGGCCCGGAGGAGCTGGATGAGGCCCGGGCAGCCCTGGCTGCGGCTGAGGAGGAGAAGCTGCAGCTGAGGATGCGGCTGCAGGAGGCTGAGCAGCGCCTGCGGGAGCTGCAGGAGGAAGGTGGGAGCAGGAGCCCCAGGGATGCCCATAGGGATCCCCATGGGGTGCCATAGGGACATCTATAGGGGATACCCATAGGGGTGCCCAGAGGGATGCCCAGAGGGATGTCCAAGGGATGCCCAGAGGAATCCCCATGGGGTGCCCATAGGGACATCTATAGGGATACCCATAGGGGTGCCCAGAGGGATGCCCAGAAGGATATCAAAGGGATGCCCAGAGGAATCCCCATGGGGTGCCCATAGGGACATCTATAGGGATACCCATAGGGGTGCCCAGAGGGATGCCCAGAGGGATGTCCAGGGGATGCCCATAGGGATGCCCATAGGAGTGCCCATAGGGATACCCATAGGAGTTCCCATAGGAATGTCTGTCAGGATGCCCATAGGGATGTCCAAGGGATGCCCGTAGGGATGCCCATAGGGGTGTCCATAGGGGTGTCCATAGGGATGTCTAAGGGATGCCTATAGGAGTGCCCATAGGAATGTCCAAGGGATGCCCATAGGGGTGTCCATAGGGATGTCCATCAGGATGCCCATAGGAGTGCCCATAGGAATGTCCATCAGGATGCCCATAGGAATGTCCAAGGGATGCCCATAGGGGTGTCCATAGGGGTGTCCATAGGGATGTCCAAGGGATGCCCGTAGGGGTGCCCATAGAAATGCCCATACAGCTGCCCATAGGGATGCCCAAGGGGTGTCTCGGTCTCCGAGGGGCAGCAGCCCTCACTTCACCCCATTGCAGTGGGGCTGCTGCAGGAGAAGCTGGCCCAGGACCCACTGGTGCAGAGCCAGGCCCCAGCGATGGCTGCACCACCACCACCACCACCACCACCACCGCTGCCACCACCTGCACCCACTGTGCCTGTGGAGTAAGTGACACCGAAGGACACCCCATGGGTGCCGTGGGGCTTCCGGGCTGTCCCTGCCATAGCAGATGAGTTGGGCCGGGAAACCTTCACCCCACGGCGCTGGGAATTGTCCCCACGCCATCCCTGGGCATCGTCCCCATGGGATACAGATGGGGGTCACTGGGCACCGTGTCTGGTGTTGGGGGTCCTGGTGCAGCTCGGATGGGCTCTGACCTCCCCTCTCCCTTCCAGCCCGCTCGTGGCCATCAGACAGAGGAAGGGGCTGGTGAACCTGCAGCGCTGTAAGTCCCCACCATGGGCCCCATTGCATCTGTACTGGGGGGTCCTGGTGCCATTGAAGGGGCACCCTGTGAGCCCCTCATTCCCTAAAGGAAGGTGCCCAGGACGCAGCACCCCCGCTCCTGCCCAGCGCGTGATGGGGATGAGCAGGGTGCTACCAGCCCTGGGTCATGGTTGGGGTTGGCAGCAAGGGATGGACCCCGGGCATGGGGACACCGCAGGGAGGTGCCGTCTCCTGACCCCCAGCAGGGACTGAGCCTTGCCACGGGCGTGCAGGGTCTCAGTGTGGTGCTCCCTGCCCAGGCAAGCCAGGAGCTGAGGATGCCAAAGCTCGAGCCGTGCAGGAGATGATGGAGCGGATAAAGAACGGCGTGGTCCTGAGGCCCGCAAAGGACCGGGCCCCCCTGGGACAGGTAGGGAGGGACCACGGGGTCCCCATCCCATGCGGTGATGTTCTCGGGGAGGACCCAAGGACTTGGGATGGGTTTGGGCAGCACCAGCAGCAGGATGAGGCCACATCTCCTCCTGCAGGGTGCATCGGTGACGGGCAGCAAGCGGAGGAGCGCGGCGCTGGAGCTGCAGAGCATCCTGGTGAGCATCCAGCCCCTGTCCCTTGTCATCCCTGTGTCCCAGTGCCGGGATGCTGCCCCTCAGCACCCCGCTGTGTGCCCTGGTCCCCAGGGTGCCATGAGGAGGGCGAGCAGGAGGGCTGGAGCGCGGCAGAGCAGCCTCAAGGGCAGGGACCAGCAGCTCGAGGCCATCCTGCAGCGCCGGCGCCGTGCCCTGGATGCGGCCCCGGAGGAGCACAGCGATGCTGAGGCTGAGGAATGGCCGGATCCTGGTACGGAGAAGGGCTTGGGAGGGGGATAATGGGGCTGGATGAGCTCCGCGTGGAGGGAGCATCCCAGGGGAGCGGGGTCAGTCTGTGGGATCAGCGCTGTGAGCGTGGTGGGACAGGGGAAGGGGTTGAATGGAGGAGCTGGGGCTGCCCCATCGCTGGCAGTGCTCAAGGCCAGGTTGGACACAGGGCTTGGAGCAAGCTGCTCCAGTGGAAGGGGTCCCTGCCCGTGGCAGGGGTGGGAGCCTCAAGGTCCCTTCCACACAACCCATCCCATGGTTCCATGACTGCGGAGGTGCCAGCACCCCCGTCCCTCGCTGTCCCCTTACCCCACCTGATGCTCTGTGGTCCCTACTGGTGACAAGCACCGGGTCCCCATTGGCTCTGCCTTTGCCCTCACCCACATCTCCCATCTCTCCGCAGGGGACGAGGACCTCGGGGCGGCTCCATCCGGGTGCTCCCCCTTCAGGCCCCGGCTTTCCAGTGGCCTCCCCAGGACCCGGCCGCTCGCCCGCCCAGCCAGAGGCAGCGGGGAGCAGGGTAGGGGAGGAGGCATCACCCTGCCTGGAGCCAGGGCTGGGTGAGGAGGTGGGTGAGGAGGTGATGGGTGAGGAGGAGATGGGTGAGGAGGAGATGGGTGAGGAGGTGATGGGTGAGGAGGAGATGGGTGAGGAGGTGATGGGTGAGGAGGAGATGGGTGAGGAGGTGATGGGTGAGGAGGAGATGGGTGAGGAGGTGATGGGTGAGGAGGAGATGGGTGAGGAGGTGATGGGTGAGGAGGAGATGGGTGAGGAGGAGATGGGTGAGGAGGAGATGGGTGAGGAGGAGATGGGTGAGGAGGTGATGGGTGAGGAGGAGATGGGTGAGGAGGAGATGGGTGAGGAGGTGATGGGTGAGGAGGAGATGGGTGAGGAGGAGATGGGTGAGGAGGTGATGGGTGAGGAGGTGATGGGTGAGGAGGTGATGGGTGAGGAGGAGATGGGTGAGGAGGTGATGGGTGAGGAGGAGATGGGTGAGGAGGAGATGGGTGAGGAGGTGATGGGTGAGGAGGAGATGGGTGAGGAGGAGATGGGTGAGGAGGAGATGGGTGAGGAGGTGATGGGTGAGGAGGAGATGGGTGAGGAGGTGATGGGTGAGGAGGTGATGGGTGAGGAGGTGATGGGTGAGGAGGTGATGGGTGAGGAGGAGATGGGTGAGGAGGTGATGGGTGAGGAGGAGATGGGTGAGGAGGAGATGGGTGAGGAGGAGATGGGTGAGGAGGAGGTGGGTGAGGAGGTGATGGGTGATGGGTGAGGAGGTGATGGGTGAGGAGGAGATGGGTGAGGAGGTGATGGGTGAGGAGGAGATGGGTGAGGAGATGATGGGTGAGGAGGTGATGGGTGAGGAGGAGATGGGTGAGGAGGTGATGGGTGAGGAGGTGATGGGTGAGGAGGTGATGGGTGATGGGTGAGGAGGAGATGGGTGAGGAGGTGATGGGTGAGGAGGAGATGGGTGAGGAGGAGATGGGTGAGGAGGAGATGGGTGAGGAGGAGATGGGTGAGGAGGAGATGGGTGAGGAGGTGATGGGTGAGGAGGAGATGGGTGAGGAGGAGATGGGTGAGGAGGAGATGGGTGAGGAGGTGATGGGTGATGGGTGAGGAGGTGATGGGTGAGGAGGAGATGGGTGAGGAGGAGATGGGTGAGGAGGAGATGGGTGAGGAGGAGATGTGTGAGGAGGAGATGGGTGAGGAGGTGATGGATGATGGCTGAGGAGGTGATGGGTGAGGAGGAGATGGGTGAGGAGGTGATGGGTGAGGAGGTGATGGGTGAGGAGGAGATGGGTGAGGAGGAGATGGGTGAGGAGGAGATGGGTGAGGAGGAGATGGGTGAGGAGGTGATGGGTGAGGAGGTGATGGGTGAGGAGGAGATGGGTGAGGAGGAGATGGGTGAGGAGGTGATGGGTGATGGGTGAGGAGGTGATGGGTGAGGAGGTGATGGGTGATGGGTGAGGAGGTGATGGGTGAGGAGGAGATGGGTGAGGAGGAGATGGGTGAGGAGGTGATGGGTGAGGAGGTGATGGGTGAGGAGGAGATGGGTGAGGAGGAGATGGGTGAGGAGGAGATGGGTGAGGAGGAGATGGGTGAGGAGGTGATGGGTGAGGAGGTGATGGGTGAGGAGGAGATGGGGGAGGAGGTGATGGGTGAGGAGGTGATGGGTGAGGAGGTGATGGGTGATGGGGTGAGGAGGTGATGGGTGAGGAGGTGATGGGTGATGGGTGAGGAGGTGATGGGTGAGGAGGAGATGGGTGAGGAGGAGATGGGTGAGGAGGTGATGGGTGATGGGTGAGGAGGTGATGGGTGCTGGGTGAGGAGGTGATGAGTGAGGAGGTGATGGGTGAGGAGGAGATGGGTGAGGAGGAGATGGGTGAGGAGGTGATGGGTGAGGAGGTGATGGGTGAGGAGGTGATGGGTGAGGAGGTGATGGGTGATGGGTGAGGAGGAGATGGGTGAGGAGGTGATGGGTGAGGAGGTGATGGGTGAGGAGGTGATGGGTGAGGAGGAGATGGGTGAGGAGGAGATGGGTGAGGAGGAGATGGGTGAGGAGGAGATGGGTGAGGAGGAGATGGGTGAGGAGGTGATGGGTGAGGAGGTGATGGGGTGAGGAGGAGATGGGTGAGGAGGTGATGGGTGAGGAGGTGATGGGTGAGGAGGTGATGGGTGATGGGTGAGGAGGTGATGGGTGAGGAGGTGATGGGTGATGGGTGAGGAGGTGATGGGTGAGGAGGAGATGGGTGAGGAGGAGATGGGTGAGGAGGTGATGGGTGATGGGTGAGGAGGTGATGGGTGATGGGTGAGGAGGTGATGAGTGAGGAGGTGATGGGTGAGGAGGAGATGGGTGAGGAGGAGATGGGTGAGGAGGTGATGGGTGAGGAGGTGATGGGTGAGGAGGTGATGGGTGAGGAGGTGATGGGTGATGGGTGAGGAGGAGATGGGTGAGGAGGTGATGGGTGAGGAGGTGATGGGTGAGGAGGTGATGGGTGATGGGTGAGGAGGTGATGGGTGAGGAGGTGATGGGTGAGGAGGTGATGGGTGAGGAGGTGATGGGTGAGGAGGAGATGGGTAAGGAGGTGATGGGTGATGGGTGAGGAGGAGATGGGTGAGGAGGTGATGGGTGAGGAGGAGATGGGTGAGGAGGTGATGCGTGAGGAGGTGCTGGGTGATGGGTGAGGAGGTGATGGGTGAGGAGATGGGTGAGGAGGAGATGGGTGAGGAGGAGATGGGTGAGGAGGAGATGGGTGAGGAGGTGATGGGTGAGGAGGAGATGGGTGAGGAGGTGATGGGTGATGGGTGAGGAGGTGATGGGTGAGGAGATGGGTGAGGAGGAGATGGGTGAGGAGGAGATGGGTGAGGAGGAGAGGGTGAGGAGGTGATGGGTGAGGAGGTGATGGGTGAGGAGGTGATGGGTGAGGAGGAGATGGGTGAGGAGGTGATGGGTGAGGAGGAGATGGGTGAGGAGGAGATGGGTGAGGAGGTGATGGGTGAGGAGGAGATGGGTGAGGAGGTGATGGGTGAGGAGGTGATGGGTGAGGAGGTGATGGGTGAGGAGGAGATGGGTGAGGAGGTGATGGGTGAGGAGGTGATGGGTGAGGAGGAGATGGGTGAGGAGGAGATGGGTGAGGAGGTGATGGGTGAGGAGGAGATGGGTGAGGAGGTGATGGGTGAGGAGGTGATGGGTGAGGAGGAGATGGGTGAGGAGGTGATGGGTGAGGAGGTGATGGGTGAGGCGGTGATGGGTGATGGGTGAGGAGGTGATGGGTGAGGAGGTGATGGGTGATGGGTGAGGAGGTGATGGGTGAGGAGGAGATGGGTGAGGAGGAGATGGGTGAGGAGGTGATGGGTGATGGGTGAGGAGGTGATGGGTGATGGGTGAGGAGGTGATGAGTGAGGAGGTGATGGGTGAGGAGGAGATGGGTGAGGAGGAGATGGGTGAGGAGGTGATGGGTTGAGGAGGTGATGGGTGAGGAGGTGATGGGTGAGGAGGTGATGGGTGGATGGGTGAGGAGGAGATGGGTGAGGAGGTGATGGGTGAGGAGGTGATGGGTGAGGAGGTGATGGGTGATGGGTGAGGAGGTGATGGGTGAGGAGGTGATGGGTGAGGAGGTGATGGGTGAGGAGGTGATGGGTGAGGAGGAGATGGGTAAGGAGGTGATGGGTGATGGGTGAGGAGGAGATGGGTGAGGAGGTGATGGGTGAGGAGGGAGATGGGTGAGGAGGAGATGGGTGAGGAGGTGATGGGTGATGGGTGAGGAGGTGATGGGTGAGGGGTGATGGGTGAGGAGGTGATGGGTGATGGGTGAGGAGGTGATGGGTGAGGGAGATGGGTGAGGAGGAGATGGGTGAGGAGGAGATGGGTGAGGAGGTGATGGGTGAGGAGGTGATGGGTGAGGAGGAGATGGGTGAGGAGGTGATGGGTGATGGGTGAGGAGGTGATGGGTGAGGAGATGGGTGAGGAGGAGATGGGTGAGGAGGAGATGGGTGAGGAGGTGTGGGTGAGGAGGTGATGGGTGAGGAGGTGATGGGTGAGGAGGAGATGGGTGAGGAGGAGATGGGTGAGGAGGTGATGGGTGAGGAGGAGATGGGTGAGGAGGAGATGGGTGAGGAGGTGATGGGTGAGGAGGTGATGGGTGAGGAGGTGATGGGTGAGGAGGTGATGGGTGATGGGTGAGGAGGAGATGGGTGAGGAGGAGATGGGTGATGGGTGAGGAGGAGATGGGTGAGGAGTTGATGGGCTCCCATCCTTCTCTTCCAGCAGCTTCCATGCTCCTGGGCTTCAGTTAAAGTGCGGTAACACCAGGTCCCACATGTGTCTACTGAGGGGACCCGGACAGGGGTGGGACTGGAGCTGCTGCAGATGGGGTTTGACTCAAGACCCTATGGGACCGGAGCGGGCAGCCGCGCTCTGCCGCCCAGGGTGCCTGCTGGCTGTTGCGTTCCCCTTTGCAGACTCAAATCTCCCTATTTAAGGAGGTAAATGGCACCCGGACCCCCAAATTAAAGGGACTTGGATCACACCGGAGCTGTTATGTCCCATGTCCCCTCCGTGTCGCCAGCCTGGTCACACTGTGCATGGGTACCCATCCACGGCACGGGCAGCCCCTGCACACGGCCGGGGCTGGATGGGGATGTGATCTTCCTCTTGGTGCCCACGGAGCCCCCACAGGAGCTGAGCCCCAGCTGGGGGCACGAAGGGCCTGGGATGCAGATGGGGACCCCCACAGTGACCCTGTTCTTGTGGGGGACCCTGGGGAGCGAGACCTGAGCTCCTGCTTCAACCCCAAAGTCTTGGGGTTCCTTTGGGGGTCCAGGGGAGGGTGAGGGGGGGATCCTGCCCCTCTGAAGCGCTCTGGGGTGACCCCACTGCAGCCCTGATCCAGGCACAAGAGGGACGTGGGAGCTGATGGAGCAAGGCCAGAGGAGGCCATGGAGCTGCTGCAGGGGCTGGGGCAGCTCTGCTCTGGAGCCAGGCTGAGAGAGCTGGGCTGGGGCAGCCTGGACAAGAGAAGGCTCCTGAAGGGGAGACCTGAGAGCAGCTCCAGTGCCTGAAGGGGCTGCAGGAAAGCTGGAGAGGGGCTTGGGACAAGGGATGCAGGGATGGGATGAGGGCTTCCAGCTGGAAGAGGGAAGAGTTGGATGGGATACAAGGAAGTTCTTCCCTATGAGTGTGGTGGGACATGGGAAGGGGTTGAAGCTGTGGCTGCCCCATCCCTGGCAGTGTTCAAGGCCAGGTTGGACACAGGGGCTTGGAGCAAGCTGCTCCAGTGGAAGGGGTCCCTGCCCGTGGCAGGGCTTGGAGCTGGAGGAGCTTTAAGATCCCTCCAACCCAAACCACTCTGGGATTCTATGACCAGAAGCACCCAAGAATGGGGAGGAAGTGGCCCCAATGGGAAGCACAAATGGGGTTGGCGACCACACTGGTTTCATTAAGCAAGAGATGAGGTTCCTCCCCACAGTGCGATGCCACTGCCAAGAGCCCACCCTCCCGGTACCCAACCCCGTCGGCAGCCCCACCACAGGGACCTTTGGCAGGTCCGGGTGGGTTTGGGGTACATGAGGCTGCTCCCCGGGAGGGGGGGGTCACAGGGCCGTGGTGGCCGGGTCCTGCGCCGGTGCTTTGGTGTCCCGGGGGTAGTACTCAGCCAGGATGCTCTCGGGGATGCGCTTCAGGAGCTGCCTGGGGAAGATGCGCAGGAGCTGCCAGCCGATGTCCAGGGACTCGAAGATGCTCCGGTTCTCATAGGGGCCTGGATGGAGGAGGAGGCAAAGGGGATGGGGAGATGCTACGGGGGTGCCCCTGCGGAGCTGATCCCCGGCTCGGGCCCCGTGCCCTACCCTGGCTGATGAAGTGCTTCTCGAACTTGTGCAGGAACTCCAGGTAGAGCAGGTCATCGGGAGACAGCGCTTCCTCCCCCACCACCGCCTTCATGGCCTGCACGTCCTTCCCGATGGCGTAGCAGGCGTACTGCAGGAGAGCCACGGGTGCAGCGAGGAGGGAGCAGGGGGTGGCTTGGGTTAAAGGGAGCTTAAATCCATCCAGCTCCAAGCCCTGCCACGGGCAGGGACCCCTTCCACTGGAGCAGCTTGCTCCAAGCCCCTGTGTCCAACCTGGCCTTGAGCACTGCCAGGGATGGGGCAGCCACAGCTTCAACCCCTTCCCATGTCCCACCGCCCTCATAGGGAAGAACTTCCTTGTATCCCATCCACCTCTTCCCTCTTGGAAGCCCAAACTCCTCTTCCCATCCCTGCATCCCTTGTCCCAAGCCCCTCTCCAGCTTTCCTGCAGCCCCTTTAGGCACTGGAGCTGCTCTCAGGTCTCCCCTTCAGGAGCCTTCTCTTGTCCAGGCTGCCCCAGCCCAGCTCTCTCAGCCTGGCTCCAGAGCAGAGCTGCTCCAGCCCTCGCAGCAGCTCCATGGCCTCCTCTGGCCTTGCTCCATCAGCTCCAGGTCCCTCTTGTGCCGCTGCCCCAGAGCTGGACCTTCCATCTCTCCCCAGAGCTCCCCTTCAAGCCATGGAGGTGCCAAAAGCAAATGCTTGAAGCCACCAGGACCAAGAGCACCGAGATCCCATCCCCATGCAGGGGCTCATTGATCATCCCCCTCCCGGCCACCCCTTACCAGCTGGTTGGAGACATCCCCATGGTCCTTCCTGGTCATTCCCTCCCCGATGGCCGACTTCATCAGCCGGGACAGGGGAGGGCAGCACGTTGATGGGGGGGTAGATCTGCAGGGCGAGAGGACCCCAACACATCCTCCTGCTGCTCCCCCATGCAGGCACGGGCTCCACTGCCCCACGTTGGGCTCCAGATGCCCTCAGCATCCCCATCCCGCTGCTCTCGGGTGATTCCCGGCCCCACGTGAGCCGGGAACGGGTTGGGAACGAACCTGCCTGTTGTGGAGCTGCCGGTCCACGTAGATCTGCCCCTCGGTGATGAAGCCCGTCAGGTCGGGGATGGGGTGGGTGATGTCTGGGGGACGATGAGGAGGGGGTGAGCCCCCAAACCGGGTCTGGCTGCATGGGCAGGCATGGGACACGGCCGTGCCCCGTGCTGGGGGTCACCAGAGCAGCGTGGCCATGGGGAATGGGCATTGCCCTGAGGCTGAGCAGGAGGCAGCTCCCCCATCACCGGGCTGAACAACACTGCCTGGTTTAGGCTTCCATGCTTCCATGGGCACCCAAACCCAGGTCTGCACCCCCCAGTGACTGCCCCAATGCATCCTTTACGTGAACCCCAGCGCTCTGCTCCAGCTGGGACCAGAGGGATGATTTGGGGGGGGGGGGGGGGAATAACCCTAAAGCATCCCCGCGAGCTTTGTTCTCCCAGTGGCTGCCCCCAGCTCCCCGGGCGCCGCTGACCGTCGTTGGGCATGGTGAGGATGGGGATCTGGGTGATGGAGCCGCTCCTGCCCTCCACGCGCCCGGCCCGCTCGTAGATGGTGGCCAGGTCCGTGTACATGTAACCGGGAAAGCCGCGGCGGCCCGGAACCTCCTCCCGGGCGGCCGATACCTGCGGGATGCGGCTGGAGCGAGGGCTGCGCGGAGCACCACAGAGCATCCCCCCCACCCCAGCATCACAAAGCACCCCGAGCACCCACGGCATCCGGGCACCCCAAGCATCCCAAGCACCCCGAGCCACCCCGGGTACCTCAAACACCCTAAGCATCCCCGGTACCCCAGGCGCCTCAGGCACCCCAGCCATCCCAAGCACCCTGAGCACCCCAAGGCACCCAAGTATCCTTGGTACTCCAAGCGCCCCAAGCACCGTGGGCACCCCGAACATCCCAAGCATCCCCAGTACCCCAGGCACCTCGGGCACCCCGGGCATCCCAAGCACCCTGAGCACCCCAAGTATCCTTGGTACTCTAAGCACCCCCAGCACCATAGGCACCCCAGGTACCTCAAACACCCCAAGCACCCCCAGAACCCCAGGCACCTTGTGCACCCCGGGCATCCCAAGCACCCTGAGCACCCCAAGTGCTCCAGGTATCCTGGGCACCCTGAGTACCCCAAGCACCCCCAGCACCCCCAGTGCTCGCAGCACCCTGAGCATCCCAATGCGCCAGGTATCCTGCGCACCCCGAGCACCCCAATAACCCCCAGCACCCTGGGCACCACTAGCATCCCAAGCACCCCAGGTATCCCTAGTACCCCAAGCACCCTAAGTGCCTCAAGTGCTCCAGCACCCTGGGCACCCCAAGCACTCCTCAAGCACCCTGAACACCCCAAGTGCCCCAAGTATCCTGGGAGCCCCTGGAACCCCCAGCACCGTGGGCACCTCAACATCCCAAATGCCCCAGTTCATAGGGGAAACATAGAATGATTTGGGTTGGAAGGGACCTTAAAGCTCATGCAGTTCTTCTGGGCATCCCAAGCATCCTGGGTACCCCAGGCAACCTGGGCATCCCAAGCACCCCAAGTACTCTGGGAACCCAAAAACACTCCAGACACCATGAGTATCCCAGGCAGCCCAAGCACCCCAAGTATCCTGGGCACCCCAAGCACCCACAGCATCATGGGCACCCCAGGTACCTTGAGCACCCCACGTACCCTGGGAGACCCGGGGTCCTGGGTACTCCAAGCACCCCAAGTACCCCAAGTGCTTACAGCACCCTGGGCACCCCAAGCACCCTGCGAACCCTAAGCACCCCAAGCATCCCAAGTGCTCCAAGGATTCCAGGCACCCCAAGCACCCCCAGCACCCAGAGCATCCTCGGAATCCCAGGCATCCTGGGCACCCTGAGCACCCCAAGCACCCTGAGCATCCCAGGCATCCCAAATGCCCCAAGTATCCTCAGCACCCCAGGAACCCCAGACACCCCAAGGACCATGGGAACCCCCAGGGTTATTGGAGGCCCCAAGCATCCCAAGTGCCCCAAACACCCTGGGCACCCCGAGCACCCCAAGTGTCCCAAGCACCCTGAGCATCCCGGGCATCCCAAATGCCCCAAGTATCCTCAGCACCCCAGGAACCCCAGACACCCCAAGGACCATGGGAACCCCAGTGTTATTGGAGGCCCCAAGCATCCCAAGTGCCCCAAACGCCCTGGGCACCCCGAGCACCCGCAGCCGCACAGGGAGGACCCGGATGGGTGCCGGGGGGCAGGCACTGACCTCCCGCAGCGCCTCGGCGTAGGAGCTCATGTCGGTCAGGATGACCAGGACGTGCTTCTCGCACTGGTAGGCCAGGAACTCGGCGGTGGTGAGGGCCAGGCGAGGGGTGATGATCCGCTCGATGCTGCCGTGGGACACGGTGAGAATCCCGCATCCCAGCTCCCCTTCCCGAGCCCCCCCCCCCGCCCTCCCAGGGCACCCATGGACACCTCCTGGGGTCCCTGAGGTGGGGACTGGGTGATGGCCCGCCCGGGGCTCCCAGTGCTGCAGGATGGGATGGGGACCCACAAGGTGTGGGGCTGGGGGATGAGTCCCCTGCTGGTCACTGCCAACAGGCCCAGGGGGTCCTTCAGTGAGGAGGAGGAGGAGGACACGATGATGAGGAGGATAAGGAGGAAGAAGGAAGGAGGGAGGAAGAAGGAGAAAGGAAGAAGGAGGAGGAGAAGAAGGAAGGAAGAAGGAGGAGGAGAAGGAGGAGGAAGGAAGGAGGAAGGAAGGAAGAAGGAGGAGGAGAAGGAGGAGGAAGGAAGGAGGAGAAAAGAAGGAGAAGGAGGAGGAGAAGAAGGAGGAGGAGAAGGAGGAGGAAAGAAGGAGAAGAAGGAGGAGGAAAGAAGGAGAAGGAGAAGGAGAAGGAGGAAGGAAGAAAAAGGAGGAGGAGAAGGAGGAGGAAAGAAGGAGAAGGAGGAGGAGAAGGAGGAAGGAAGAAAAAGGAGGAGGAGAAGGAGGAGGAGGAAGGAAGGAGGAGGAGCAGCAGGTGCTGGAGCCGCGGCACTGGCTCACGTGGGGTCATTGGCCAGGTTGAGGAACAGGCACACGTTCTCCATGGAGCCGTTCTCCTCGAAGTCGGACTTGAAGAAGCGAGCGGTCTCCATGTTCACCTGCCCGGGGGGGGACCCGTGGTCAGCAGGAGCGGGCTGGCTCCGGGGCAGGCAGGGACGAGGCGATGCAGGGAGCGCGGCTGCCCACGCATCCCATAGGGGCACCGGGGGCTGCCCTGCCCCAGCTCACCCCCATGGCCGCGAAGACGATGGCGAAGTTGTCCTCATGGAAATCCATCACGTCCTTGGACTTCTTGACCAGCCCGGCCTGGCGGCAGATCTGTGCTGCGATCTGCAGGGCATGGGACAGCACATGGACCCCCCCCCGATGGCTCACAGCACCCCCGGGACCAGGATCCGGCCCCCCCGAGGGCAGGGGATGGAGATGGGGGGGACCAGTGGAAGAGAGCCAGGGTGGGCTTTGCTTTATCTCTTGCTGTGATGGGGAAACTGAGGCACGGGGTAGCGATGCCCCAGCCCATCACACTGCATGGATGGGGGACCACAGCAGTGTGGGTCTGGCCCATCATGGTGAGCAGAGCTGAGCATGGAGCCAAGCACAGCAGGGAGGGGAGGGATGCAGAAGAGTCTCCAACCGCCCCAAATGCTTCCTCTTCCACCCTCATCCTCCTCTTCTGCCTCATACTGGGGGCTCAGCACCCCACGGGGACCCACCTCGTTGTGGGGGAGACCAGCAGCGGAGAAGATGGGGATCTTCTGCCCCCGGGCGATGCTGTTCATCACATCGATGGGCGAGATCCCGGTCTGGATCATCTCCTCGGGGTAGATGCGGCCGTGGGGGTTGATGGGCTGGCCTGGAGCAGCACAGGGAAATGAGGCACCCAGGGCACCCCAATGGGGAGGGGTTGGACTCCCCTATGGAGCTGGGTCCCCTCCCACAGCACCCAGGGCCATCACCATTGATGTCCAGGAAGTCCTCAGCCATCACCGGGGGACCGCTGTCGATGGGCTTTGCAGAGCCATTGAAGACCCGACCTGCAAGGAGAGAGCTGCTGGTCCCTGGGAACACCCTGCCCATGGATGTGGGGTTCCCATCCTGCTCCTATGGGTGACGCCACAGCCCCTGGAGCAGGAAGATGCCAGCACATGGGGCCAAGTACTCAGAGACCCCCCTAAGCCACCGTCCGTCACCTCCCCTCGGGTTCCACAGCTCCTGTACAGGTGGGGTGATACCAAGACCCCCCCCAAAAGCGGTGCTCAGGAGGGGTACAATGCTCCCAGAGAGCATCTGCATCCCTATTCCTGCTCAGCCACATCGACCGGCTCCGAGCCGTGGGATCGATGCCGATCACGCTGCATCCCGCAGCATCCCACCCGCTGCCCCATGGGACCTTCCTCTGGTCCCCAGCCGAGCAGGAGCCATCGTCCTTGTCAGAGCAGATCAGGCTGATGCAGGGCTGGAGCACGCAGCATGAAAGGTCAATGGCGCTGGTGCTCAACGGCACGAAGAGACAAAGCTCTGGGGGACCCCAGTGCGGGGGCAAAAAGAGGGGGAGCCCCCCTTTGATACTGGGCAGGGAGGATCGGGATGGCTCCCATCCCATCCTGGGCACTCACAGCCGGAGCCTGCACAGGGGTAGGGAGGGATCTGCTTGGGAAAGGAGCGGGCGGGGGGGGGGCATGGACCTGTCTGCGCATCACCGCACGCAGGCAGCCTGCCCTTTGCGCTGCCCTTTGCAGCGGGGCCCTGCCCGCTCCCCGCTGCCGGCACCGGGGGAAGGAGGCGGCCGGAGATGCTCAAGGAGCGAGGCCGAGTGGCAGCCGGGTCCCTGCGCCGGGGACCGCAGCGACCGCAGCGACCCCTGCGAGCCCCGGCGCTGCTCCGGGGCTGCTGCGCCCTCTGATGGGGCTGCGGAGGGGAGGGGGGGGCTTTAACAGCCCTGGGGGGGGCTCCAGCACCCGGCTCTGCCCGGGGAGGGGGGTCCCCATGGGGATGCGGAGCAGCCCCCTTTGGTGCTTATGCTTGCCCGCATCTCGGGGCTCAGCGGGGATGGGGAGGATGGAATGCATTGGGTTGAAGGGAACTTAAAGCTCCTCCAGCTCCAACCCCTGCCACGGGCAGGGACCCCTTCCACTGGAGCAGCTTGCTCCAAGCCCCTGTGTCCAACCTGGCCTTGAACACTGCCAGGGATGGGGCAGCCACAGCTTCTCTGGGCACCCTGTGCCAGCGCCTCAGCACCCTCACTGCCCTCACCCAAAAACCTTCTCCCAGTCCAGCCCAAGCCATTCCTCCAGGGATAACAGGGCAGAGAGCACCCCGGGGGATGCTTCCATCCCGTATGAAGGCGACCATCACCATCTCACCGTGCTGCCTGTGCCCCTCCATCCCTCGCACTCACCGGACGGGACTGGAGAGCATCCCCAGGGATGTGCTCACCGTCCGCCCATACTACTTGTGCTATGTCCCCCCAGTGTGGCTGTGCCTGGGGTGTCCCCCCCCTCAGCACCCCCCAGGCTCACCCAGCATGTCCTCGGACACCGGGGTGCGCAGGATGTCCCCGGTGAACTCGCAGGAGGTTTTCTTGGCATCGATTCCAGATGTTCCCTCAAACACCTGCGGAGACCCCGGGGGCAGGAGCCCGGCGGGGGGCAATTACAGGGGATTAGAGAATGGGGGGGGGGGGTCCATCCATCGGGATGGGACGGGATCCGCTCACCCGAAAACCCATCGGGAAGAGGTGAGAAAAGAGCGGGGAGCCCCTGGGGTTAAGAAAACCCCCTTCTGAGGGGGGCTCCCGGGTGGGGGGAGCAGGGGAAGGGGGAGAGCACGCTCAATGCATCGAGGCCAGGGGCCTCGGCCCTGGTGCGTTAACCCAGAGCGGTTTGATCCGTATAATATTTGACACCATTTATGTGAATTAACCTCCAGATCGCTGCTTTAATTAGAGCTGTGCTGCTCCCGGGATAAAGGGCAGCTTGGGAATGCCGGGAGCATCCCAGGAATGCCGGAGGCACGAGGGCTGGTGAGGGGCGCAGCACTGACATGGGTGCAGGTCCCTGCAGGCCACCCCCCCCATGAAGATGCTGCTGCAAAAAGCACCTTTTTTCCCCCTTTTATTCTTTTTTTCCCCCCTTTTTCCCCCTTTTATCCCTATTTTTTCCCCTCCCGAGGCTGATTCCCTAATAGGATTAAAAGGGCACTGCAGATGACCGGGTGGCATTAGAGGAGCAAGGTTTGGTGCTCACTAACCGCGTTGGCCATGCAGACACCGCGATGGGTGGCTGATGAAGGGACATCCAGGCAGGAGAGGACCTGGATAATGGCTCTCTCCATGCTCCTGGATAATGGAGCCTGACAGCCCCGAACCAGCCCTAGTGAAACCCCGCTGCTGGGCTGCCCCAGTTTGGGGTACCCCAGGAACACACTGCCCAGCCTGGTCCTGGCCCCATAGAGTGCTAGGGATTGGGGGGGGATGGCAGGAGGTCTGAGGTTTTCCTGCTGGGATGGAGCAGAAGGCAGCTTCGGGAGGTCCTAAGCAGGGATATGGGGTCCCAAGGAGGTGGCAGCATCACCCGGATGGGCTCTTCCCATTGGCGATAGTGGGTGGGCAGCCTGGGAGGGCAGCTTGGGTGAGGGATGGGGGCAACAGGATGGGAGGACAGCAGGATGGGGACCAGCAGGATGGGGTCATGCCCACACCTGCTCCCTGCATCCTGCTGATGCTGGGCAGATGTCATCGTTTCGATTTGGTACCCAGATGCTCCTGCTCGGAGCAGGCACCAGCTGCATCCCCACCACCAGCCCCGGCACAGCTCCCGAAGGGCCATGGACCAGCCAGGAATCACACTGCCTATCCCAGGACACAGCCTGGAGTAGCTGGGACAGCAGCAACCGCTGGAGGGGGACAGAGCCCCAGGACAGAGCCCAGGACATGCAGTGCCCTGTGTCCGCATCCCACCTCGTCCCCATCCCACCCCGCCTCCCGTCCCATCACGTCCCCATCACCCTAAACTCACCTGGACGATGGCTTTGGAGCCCATCACCTCCAGGACCTGCCCGCTGCGGCTGGTGCCATTGGGCAGCACGAAGTTCACGATCTCAGCATACTGGGCAAACTGGAGGGACAGGGGCAGGGTGAGATGAAGTGGGGGGGGCTTTACTTCCCCCCCCCCAACCACCCCTTGCAGCCGCTGCCCACCCGGGCAGGAGGAGGCATCGAGGGGAGGATGCTGCCTGCGCCGTGCCTCAGTTTCCCCATCGCTGCAGGTGCTCCCCTTGCCCCACGGGTGCTCTCGGACCCACCAGGACCTGAGCACTCACAAGTTCACCCCCTTTCCCCCCCACACACACACCCCAGAAGCGGACAGACCCATCGCACTGCCACCATCGGCCAGAGGGCACCCAGCACCCATGGGTACCAGGGGTACCGACTGATCCCCCCCGGTCCCCAGCCCAGCCGGGACCCCCGGGGTGGATGCAGGGGACTTCTCTGCAGCCCCTTGGCTCAGGGATAGCATCCATGAGCCAGCCCTGTGCTGTTTGCCACCTCCATCTCCTCTGCCTCGCTCCCGGGCTCCGGGCCCTGTGAACTCCGGACTTTAATTCCTCCCTAAAGACCTTTCCATAAAGGACAAGGGAGGGAAGGAAACCCCCGCCAGGGCCCGGCTCTTTCATGGAGCTGCTTCATTTCCATCCCGCCCGCTCGGCCTGAAAGGGGCCATAGGAACAGCCCCGGGGCAACGCAGCCCCTCGAGGGTCCCGCTGGGCGCCCAGAGCCCACTCGGTCCAGCAGCAGGGACAGGAGGGTGACACCGAGGTGACCCTAAAGTGACACCCAGTGCTGGGGGCATGGGATGGGGTGGGGACCAGGGTCAGTGATGGGGCTGGAGACAGGGCAGGAGCTTGGACAGGAGCATAGGGAACAGGGGCTGGGGCTTGGGTAGTGGCACAAGGGACAAGGGCTGGAGCTGGGGCAGGGACCCAGGGGCTGCTGCGTGCCCATGGGAGGGAGCTGGATGAGACCCCAAGAGGACAGGGCACAGGCTGGCAGCCGGGACCACAATAAGGGGTCCCCCCATCACCCTCCTGCAGCCGAGGTCCTACCTTCACGTTGTCCAGCACCACCAGGGGCCCGTTGACACCACAAACAGTCTTGTAGGCTGAGGGGAAAGGACACAGTGTGGGGCCAGGGGGGCTCCCACCATCGCCACCCCCAGTTGTTGGGTGCTGGGGCAGGATCCATCCCCCCCAGCACCATCCAGTGCTGCTATCACAGAACCATGGCATGGGGTGGGTTGGAAGGGACCTTAAAGCTCCTCCAGCTCCAACCCCAACCCCTTCCACTAGAGCAGCTTGCTCCAAGCCCTGTGTCCAACCTGGCCTTGAGCACTGCCAGGGATGGGGCAGCCACAGCTTCTCTGGGCACCCTGTGCCAGCGCCTCAGCACCCTCCCAGGGTGAGGTGTGCTCCCGAGCTGCTCCATCCGCTATCCCCCAGCCTGGGTTTGTGCTGGGGATGCCCGTACCCAGGGGCAGAACCTTGCCCTTGGCCTTGATGCACCCATGAGCTTCACAGGGTCCCATCTCCCAAGCTAATTTGCCAATGAGCCTTCCCTCTGGTACCCAGTTATTCCCGGCTCCTGCTGGTCACCATTCAGCAGCCTGGAGCTCTCTCTGCTGCCAGCCTCCCTCCTTTTGTCTCCTTTATTCCCCAAGTGTCCATTCCCCTTCCACTTCCCCTCCAGCTCCATCACAAACAGAGTTTTGTTGGGCTCTTTTCTTCTCTGCCTGTGTCTCCTCCGAGCCCCAGCTCTTGGGCTGCCACCCACATGGGATATTGTTCCACGGCCATGGGGACTGGGCCTTGTCCCTGAGCACAGGGATCTGCAGCCCAGCCCTGATGGCTGACAGATCCATCGGGATCTTCCCGGCTTTCCTTCTGGTGCCCTGGGCTGTCTCATCCCATGGAGGGCATCTGACCCTCTGGCAGCACTGCTTGGTGCTGTATGGCTGTGGCACTGGGTCATCCCTTCCATCCATCCCTCCCTCCCGTTCCTCTGTCCTTCCACCCTTCCCTCCTACCCATCCATCCATGGACGGGAGGGGGAGCCAGGCAGGGCCGGTGCCAATACTGGTACCAGAGCCACCGCGGCCGGTTGGGTGGTTCCAACACCCTCATCTCCGCGGTTGAATCGGCTCTATCGTGATAGAGAAGGAGATCACAACAGTGAGCCCAAGCGAGGGCCGCCAGAGAGGCTCAGGGCTGGGGGGGGGACCAAGGAGGAGGAGAAAAAGGAGGAGAAAGGAGAGGAGCAGGAGGAGGAGGAGGAGGAGGAGGAGGAGGAGGAGGGCTGGGATGGGGGGGGGGGGGGAGCCCCTGCCACCGGAAAGCGCTAATTCCGCTAATGAAGCCGCTGAGCTGTGATGCCCGAGAGGGGGGCGATGGAGAAGCAGCATCGGGGTGGGTGGGCTGCGGCGGCCGCTCATGGCCGGGGAGGGGGCACGGCGATGGGGCGGCCGGAGGGGAGGGGGGGGGAGAAGCGGGCTGCAGGGGCCGGAGCAAAGGCGAAGGCTTTCACCGTGGCCTTTCCACACCCCCGGCCCCAACTTCACAGCTCCTGTCACTTGCGATCTCCGTTAGCGCTGACGCTCACGCACCGGTAACCGCCGCCGCGGCCCCGGTGACAAAGGGGACCCGACCCGGCTACACCCGCCGCTAATTGCTCCCAGTCAGTGCCGGCGGCCGTCACCGCGCCACACGCCTTAGGGCTCTGCTCCAAAGAGAGCCCCGTTTGCCGCAGGGAAGGGATGGAGGGGAGCCCGGCTCCGGGCCTCCTCCTGCTCCGAGCGCTCCCGAGGGAACCGCCCGCCCCATGGAGGGGATGCAGGGTGGGCTGGGGTGGATTTGCCCTGTAAGGAGTTGCTCCCATCTGCACAGGGGTGGGCAGCTTGGCCTTTAGGACTGGGTGAGCAGGGAGGGGTGCTCATCCTCATGCACCGACCAAGGGGCTTTGCACAGGCCCCAGCGCAAATTACAGTCTCCTATCCTGAATTACAGACCCCTACCCCAAACTACCGACCCCTACCCTGAATCACAGATCCTTATCCCAAACTACAGACCCCCATCCCAAGTCACAGATTCCTATCCCCAGCTACAGACCCCTATCCCAAACTACAGACCCCTATCCCAAACTACAGACCCCTATCCCAAACTACAGACCCCTATCCCTAGTCACAGACTCCTATCCCCAGCTACAGACCCCTATCCCAAACTACAGACCCCTATCCCAAACTACAGACCCCTATCCCTAGTCACAGACCCCTATCCCCAATTACAGACTCCTATCCCAAACCACAGACCAGGGGGTTGCATACAACCGTCAGTACCTCCAACCCCTCTCCCACCACGTGTGCTGAAGCCCATGGGGTGGGCAGAAGGGGCACTGAGCTGCAGCAAAGATGAGGAATGGGGCTGATAAAATACCCCGTAAACCCCCAAAATCCTCTGGTCCAGAGCAAGGACAGGGATGAGGAGGTGCCTCAGCAGGTCCAGAGCCACCCTGGGGCACCAGGATGAGTCTCTGGTGTCCCTCAGAGACCTGCATGGAGCACTTGCACCCATGGGGTAGGGCAGCCATGGGATGCTCTGGATGCATCCCTCGTCCCCCTTGGGTGCTGCTCACCAAGTGCCAAGCTTACCCCGTCCCGTCCCGTCCCGTGCCAGGCTGATGCCGCAGGTGCAACCCCTTCAAGCCCCAACCCTTCTGCCTGCCAGCACCATCCATCGGGGCGCACCCGAGAGCCGGGCGGCCTCATCCTGCCCCTCCAAGCCCCTGCCCGCCGCAGCGCCGGGGCTGCCCTGGGACTTTTCCGACAGTCCCTAAGTGACCGCGCTCCCCCTCCCCAACCTGCCCATTGTGCCGTGGGTCACTTTGTGCCGCGCTGTCAAACCCACGGCCTGCCCCAGCGCGGCAGAGCGCTGAAAAGCCCGGCGGGGGGTCACACTCTATGCCACTAATTAGGGCCCCGGCGGCCGAGGGTTCCCATACACACCTGCACGTCACGGGAGGGGAGGCAAAGAAAGGCAGGAGCAGCCAAGCGTGAAGGCAACGAGGGGGCGCGAGGAAGAAAGAGCCCCCCCCCCCCCCAAACACCTCGTTTGTGGGGCTGGCGCTGGTCTATGGGCCGCAGACAAAACAGGGCTGGTGGGGGAAGGAGCGCGGCCGGGATGCTGACGGGTGATGGAGGCACCAGATGGGTTAAGGGAAGGGTGGCCCCAGGAGGAAAGTGATGGAGAAGTGGTGGAGAGGGGAGGTGTGGGGCCTGGGGAGTGAGGCATGCTGTGGGGCAGAGCATTCGCCCCATAGAGGGGGGTGGGGTGATGCCATGGGGGTGGGAGGATAATGGCACAACCCCAGCCGGGCAGCACTGGGATACGGACATGCAATGGCTGCAGCCCCAGGAGCACATCAGCCCCCCGACCCCACGGCAGGGGACAGGCCAGCAGGCCAGCTCTGCTTGCCAGGGGTCTGGAGGGCAATGGGATCCCAGCCTCTTCTCCGGGTTAGCCATGATTGGAAGTGCTGGGATGCTGCAGCGGCAGTGCCGGGGAGTGAGTGGGGTGCTGGTGAGGTGGGAAAAGGGCCACGGGAGCAGCAAGTCCATGTCTCTATTGCCAGCATCCTGGCTCTCCATCACCAGCAACCCACATTCCCATCACCAGCAACCCACGTCTCCATCACCAGCAACCCGCATCCCCATCACCAGCAACCCACGTCTCCATCACCATCACCAGCAACCCACATCTCCATCATCAACAACCCACATCTCCATCATCAACAACCCACATCCCCATCACCAGCAATCCCCATCTCCATCACCAGCAACCCACGTCTCCATCCCCATCACCAGCAATCCACATCTCCATCACCAACAACCCACATCTCCATCAACATCACCCCACGTCTCCATCAACATCACCGCACATCTCCATCACCATCACCCCATATCTCCATCACCATCACCCCACATCTCCATCACCATCAGCCTCCCTGAGCCCCACAATCCCCTCATTCCCCCTCAATCACCCCATGGCTCCTGCGTGGAGCCTGGAAGGACCTGGACTGGGAGCACAGTCTCCCAAGCTCAACATCCAGCCCCTGCCCAGCACAGCCCCAAGCAGGGATGTGTCAGGGTGCCCAGGGCTTGGGGATCTCCCTGATACTTCCTCTCCTGCTTCCCATGTCGCCATTGGGTAGAGCCACATCCCAAACCCCATCAGACACAGCTCCCAAAGGCACCATCCCCGGCCTGGGGCTGCCATCATGCCCAGACCCAGTGCAGAGTCCTGGCAGGAGATGAGCATCACAGGTAACAGGGCTGGCTGGGACACGGCAGAGAAGCCCAGTGTCCCACCAAACTGCCCTTATCAGGCTGGGATTGCACAGCACAGCCGTTGTGCCACTGGGCTGCTGCCCTTGACCTCCTGTTTCATCCTTCCACTCATTCATCCACCCATCCCTCCATCCACTCATCCATCCATTCCTGCCTCCATCCATCCATCCATCCATCCATCCATCCATCCATCCATCCATCCATCCACACATACATACATCCACTCATCCATCCATTCCTGCCTCCATCCATCATCCATCCCTCCACCCATCCCTCCATCCATCCATCACTCCACCCATCCTTCCATCCATCCTCCCCTTGCCCCCAAGTTGCTCCCAGGCTGCAGTTACTGAGTTTAAAGCATTCCACAGAGCAGGGCATGGGGCAGACCACGGGGCAGGCCGTGGGGCACCCCATGTGCCAGCAGCCCCGAGCCCCTCTGCAGGCAGTGGCATTGCTGGCTGGGATGTTTCCCATGCAGCTGGAACAAGGCAGAGGCCAGGAGGTGGGAAGTGTTTCTTCCACTCGCTGTGCTAACGGCTCCGCTGGGAAGCGGCTGCGGATCCCGGTCCTGCCTCTCGGGAGAGCTCTGCCTGCTCCTGCTCCTGCTCCTGCTCCTGCTCCTGCTCCTGTCCCTGCTCCTGCCCCTGCTCCTGCTCCTGCCCCTGCTCCTGCCCCTGCCCCTGCTCCTGCTCCTGCTCCTGCTCCTGTCCCTGCTCCTGCCCCTGCTCCTGCTCCTGCTCCTGCCCCTGCTCCTGCCCCTGCCCCTGCTCCTGCTCCTGCTCCTGCTCCTGCCCCTGCTCCTGCTCCTGCTCCTGCTCCTGCTCCTGCCCCTCCTCCTGCTCCTGCTCCTGCTCCTGCTCCTGCCCCTGCTCCTGCTCCTGCTCCTGCCCCTGCTCCTGCCCCTGCTCCTGCTCCTGCTCCTGCTCCTGCCCCTGCTCCTGCTCCTGCCCCTGCTCCTGCTCCTGCCCCTGCTCCTGCTCCTGCTCCTGCTCCTGCCCCTGCTCCTGCTCCTGCTCCTGCTCCTGCTCTGCTCCTGCTCCTGCTCCTGCTCCTGCCCCTGCTCCTGCTCCTGCTCCTGCCCCTGCTCCTGCTCCTGCCCCTGCTCCTGCTCCTGCTCCTGCTCCTGCTCTGCTCCTGCTCCTGCTCTGCTCCTGCCCCTGCTCCTGCTCCTGCCCCTGCTCCTGCTCCTGCTCCTGCTCCTGCCCCTGCTCCTGCTCCTGCTCCTGCCCCTGCTCCTGCTCCTGCTCCTGCTCCTGCCCCTGCTCCTGCTCCTGCCCCTGCTCCTGCCCCTGCCCCTGCTCCTGCTCCTGCTCCTGCCCCTGCTCCTGCCCCTGCTCCTGCTCCTGCTCCTGCTCCTGCCCCTGCTCCTGCTCCTGCCCCTGCTCCTGCTCCTGCCCCTGCTCCTGCTCCTGCTCCTGCTCCTGCCCCTGCTCCTGCTCCTGCTCCTGCTCCTGCTCTGCTCCTGCTCCTGCTCCTGCTCCTGCCCCTGCTCCTGCTCCTGCTCCTGCCCCTGCTCCTGCTCCTGCCCCTGCTCCTGCTCCTGCTCCTGCTCCTGCTCTGCTCCTGCTCCTGCTCTGCTCCTGCCCCTGCTCCTGCTCCTGCCCCTGCTCCTGCTCCTGCTCCTGCTCCTGCCCCTGCTCCTGCTCCTGCTCCTGCCCCTGCTCCTGCTCCTGCTCCTGCTCCTGCCCCTGCTCCTGCTCCTGCCCCTGCTCCTGCCCCTGCCCCTGCCCTTCCTTCTGCTGCCCCTTCCCCTGCTCCTGCCCCACCGCCCTGCTCACCCCCTGCTGCCCATGGATCCGGGCACCGGGCTGCAGCGAGAACCGTGTGAGTGCTGCTGTGCCCAGCGCCAGGCAGGGACCTTGTGCCGGGACCCCTCACGGGGACCCCACACTGCTGGGACCCCAGGCCGCTGGGAGCCCATACTGGTCGCCCTTATTGGGACCCCAGGCTGCCAGGATCTCATAGTGGGCCCTCACTCCGGGCCCCCATGCTGGGACCCCATGGGAGCCGCCATGACCCCTCACCCATGGGTGCTGGCTGGCACCCGCCGCGCACCCCAGCCCTGGCCCCGTGCCCTGCCGAGGGAAGGAGTCACCCATGGGTGACTCCCTGCTGCCGCAGCCACGGCGGGAGCCGGGCAGAGCCGGTTGAGCTCCGGGCGGAGCCGGTTCGGGAGGGGACAGCGAACAGGGAAGGTCACAGGGAGCGTCCTTGGCGGCTCCGAGCCTGGGGACGGGGCGCTGGGGGGGCGGGCAGAGCTCCCAGCACCCATGGGTGCTGCGCGGGGAGACCCGCACAGCGCCTGGCCCGGGGTACGGGCGCGGGGAGGTCGCGGTAACGCCACATTCCACCAGCGGCTCCCCACCCATCCCCATTGGGAGCAGCACAAGGGGGGGTCCCCAGCTCCCCACATGGATGATGACCCCCAGGACACCCTGGCGGGACCCATGGCACCACCACATCCCGCTGGAGTCCACACTGGGGCCGTGGAGTCCCGGAGCACCAAGAGGGGTTTGCGTGGGTCCCCCACGCCAAGGGGGTCACTACGGGCTCCACCACCCCAAGCGGCACCCATAGCTCCCACAGCCCTTGGGGGGCAGCGATACCCTCCCCACCTTCCCCAGCGCCAAGCGGGGGGGTGACAGCCCCACAACCGCCCCCGTCACCCCGCTGTGCACCCTCCCAAGCGTCCCCGCCGTTGACAAATGGGGGTCCCCAGGGCCCAGCGCCCACCCGCCCGGCGCCGCCCCCATAGCACCCATGGGGACCGCAGCTCGGGGGGCACTCACTGAGCCGGGGGCTGCGGCTGTAGTCGCGGGTGGCGGCCAGAGCGTGCTCGCGGGCTGCGGGCACCGGCGCTCGGGGGGCGGCTGTGGCCATGGTCGCGGTCGTGGTCCCGGGGCGGGTCCCGGGGCCGGGGTTTGTACCCCTCGCCCCGGGCGCAGCCGGTCCCGGCCCGCTGGTGCCGCCGGCCCCGTGTTGGCTGTAAACAGCGGGAGGGAGCGGCCGCAGCGGCCCAGCCCCATAGGGAGGGAGGGGGGGACGGGGGACGAGGGTGAGGGTGGTGGGAGGGTGGGGATAGGGGTAGGGATGGGGATGGGGATGGGGATGGGGAGAGGTGTATGGATAGGGGTAGGGATGGGGATGGGGAGAGGTGTATGGATAGGGGTAGGGATGATGGGGAGAGGTGTATGGATAGGGGTAGGGATGGGGATGGGGAGAGGTGTATGGATAGGGGTAGGGGTGGGGATGGGGATGGGGAGAGGTGTATGGATAGGGGTAGGGGTGGGGATGGGGATGGGGAGAGGTGTATGGATAGGGGTAGGGATGGGGATGGGGAGATGTGTATGGATAGGGGTAGGGATGGGGATGGGGAGAGGTGTATGGATAGGGGTAGGGATGGGGAGAGGTGTATGGATAGGGGTAGGGATGGGGATGGGGAGAGGTGTATGGATAGGGGTAGGGATGGGGATGGGGAGAGGTGTATGGATAGGGGTAGGGATGGGGATGGGGAGAGGTGTATGGATAGGGGTAGGGGTGGGGATGGGGATGGGGAGAGGTGTATGGATAGGGGTAGGGGTGGGGATGGGGATGGGGAGAGGTGTATGGATAGGGGTAGGGATGGGGATGGGGAGATGTGTATGGATAGGGGTAGGGATGGGGAGAGGTGTATGGATAGGGGTAGGGATGGGGATGGGAGAGGTGTATGGATAGGGGTAGGGATGGGGATGGGGAGAGGTGTATGGATAGGGGTAGGGGTGGGGATGGGGAGAGGTGTATGGATAGGGGTAGGGGTGGGGATGGGGAGAGGTGTATGGATAGGGGTAGGGATGGGGATGGGGAGAGGTGTATGGATAGGGGTAGGGATGGGGAGAGGTGTATGGATAGGGGTAGGGGTGGGGATGGGGAGAGGTGTATGGATAAGGGTAGGGATGGGGATGGGGATGGGGAGAGGTGTATGGATAGGGGTAGGGATGGGGATGGGGAGAGGTGTATGGATAGGGGTAGGGGTGGGGATGGGGAGAGGTGTATGGATAGCGGTAGGGATGGGGATGGGGGGAGGTGTATGGATAGGGGTAGGGATGGGGATAGAGATAGGTGTGGAGGTAGGCATTGGGATTGAGATAGGAATTCGGGTAGGAATAGGCGTGGGGATAGGGATAGCTAATAGGGACATGGATAGGGATAGAGATGGGAACTAGGACTGGGGCAAGGATAGGGATGGGGATAGGGATAGGCATACAGATAGGAACAGAAACAGGTGTGGGGGTGGGGACAGTAGTAGGGAAAGGCTCTGTGATAGAGATAGGAGTCAAGGTAGGAATAGGTGTGGGGATAGGTGTATGTATAGGGATGGGATAAAGACTGGGGTAGGGATAGGGATGCAGATAGGCATACGCATAGGGGTAGGGATAGAGATAGGTGTGGGGGTAGGCATTGCGTTAGGGATAGAGATAGGAATTGGGGCAGGAATAGGTCTGGGGATAGGGATAGGGAAGAGACAGAGCTAGGGATAAGGATAAGGATAGGGACTAGGATTGGGGCAAGGATAGGTATGGGGATAGGCATTTGCATAGGGATAGGGATGGGGATGGTGATAGGGATAGGCATATGGATAGGGATAGAAGTAGGTGTGGGGGTGTGGATAGAAGTAAGGAAAGGGATTGCAATAGGGATAGGAATTGGAGTAGGAATAGGTGTGGGGATAGGGATAGGGATAAGGATAGGCATTGGGATGGGCAGGATAGGTATGGGGATAGGCATGCATAGGGATAGGGGTAGGGATGGGGATAAGCATAGGGATAGGGACAGAAATAGGTATGTGGGTGGGGATAGAAGTAGGGATGGGGATAGGGAAAGAAATATGGAAAGGGATAGGGATACGCATAGGCATAGGGATAGGGATACAGACGGGGATGGGAATAGGGATGGGGATGAGGGTAGGGATAGGGTCAGGGATGGGGATACAGATGAATGGGGATGGGGATAGGGTGGGGATACAGATGGGGCAGGGATGGATGGGATTGGGGAAGGGACAAGGCTGGGGTAGGTGTGGGGACAGGATTGGGGCAAAGGCAGAGGTTGGGGCCGCATTAGGAGTGGGGATGGGGGCAGTTTGGGGCCGAGGCCGGGGTACTGGTGGGGGTGAGGGGTCTGCAACCCCCCAGCCCCCCTCAGGCTGTGGGTGCCCATGGGGAGCTCACATCGGGGTGATGGTGGTGGGACAGCAGAGCCTGTGCATGGGGCAGCTGGGGAGGGGGAGATGGACTGCGGGGCTATGAGGGGGTGCTGGAGGTATCCTCTGGGGGGGGCACCAATGCCCCGGGGTCGGGGAGAGCAGGAAACAATGGGGGGGATCCAAGATGCTAAAGGTCTCTGGCACTGGGAGAACCACAGAGGGAAGGTGATGGAGGAGGAGAAGGAGGCAGGACGTGACTTCATTAACCATTAAACCCATAAGAAGCCACGTTATCCTTCCATCCCTTGGGGCAGGTTCATTGGGCTTGTTGGCTATGGGAGAAGCAGCTTTGGAGCAGCAGCAGCTTCGGAGCAGGTTTGGGGTCTTTGGGCAAGCAGCATTTGGGGCTAAATCCATGGAAAGGACTTCCATGGCCTCCCTTCCCACCTTCCCTTTGGGTGCTGAGCAGTGGGAGGAGGATGCAGGAGCTCCACGAGGATGCTCCGAGATGGGAAAACACACTTGGACAGCCCAGAATTCCCAGGGTTTGGGGGCTCCTTCAACAATAAAACTGGACCTGCCCTGGAGGTGCCCCCAAACCTCCTCCATCCGTGAAGGCAAAGGGGTCCCTTCTCCATCCGACCAGACCTTTCCCTCCCAGTGAGGCCAAGATGGGAGGAACTGGGAATAAACCGGGAAATTCGGCAGCTCCAGGGGGAAAAATAAGGAAAAGCCAAGGGATTCGGAAGGGGGACAGGATTCTCCCACCTCCCCTTGCTGCCTTGCCACGCTTGCAGAGCAGGGAGGGATAAGAACAGTGACACAAGCATGAATGAAGCGATGAGGGGAAGGGAAAAGGTCCTTGTCCTGCCAAAATCCCAACCCTCATCCAAATATGCCGTTGGGAAGTTGAGGGCTGAGCATCCCGGGAGGATCAAATCCCACATTCCAGGAACGGGGAATGACCCCAGGCCACGGGAACAAGGAGGAACCAAACTTTCCCGAGGCTTTCCATAAAATCCTTTATTTTAAATATCTCCCTGCGCAATCCTGGGCACACGCAGGATGTGTCCCCCCCATAGGGACAGGGCGGGGGGGGGGGGCTGCCCCCCTGGGCCAGGCTGGGGGTCAGTCCGTGGTGATCGTGGTTACGTGACATCAAACTGCAGCGGGGGGAGGCAGGAGCCCCTTGGGGTGGGGTCTGGGGGGGATGAGCCCCAAGGCAGCTCCTGGGTGATGGGGGGGGGGGGGGGGGGCCCTCAGGGCATCCCCCTGCTCCTGTCACAGCAGTGTCATGAGTGGGTGTCACACCGGGGTTGTGCCATGGAGCATCCCAAAAGGTGATGCCACCGCAGAGCATCCTGCCATGGTGATGCCAACACAGAGCATCCTGTCATGGTGATGCCAACACAGAGCATCCTGCCATGGTGGTGCCACTGCAGGGTACCCACCAAGGTGATGCCACCACAGAGCATCCTGCCATGGTGGTGCCACCACAGAGCATCCTGCCATGGTGGTGCCACTGCAGGGTACCCACCAAGGTGATGCCACCACAGAGCATCCTGCCATGGTGGTGCCACCACAGAGCATCCTGCCATGGTGGTGCCACTGCAGGGTACCCACCAAGGTGATGCCACCACAAAGCATCCTGCCATGGCGATGCCACCACAGCTCCAAGCCCGCCATCAGCCCTATAGAGCTCTTTCCCCTCCCAACATCCCCAATCCTGAGAGCAGCCCCAGCATCGCACAGCCAAGGCTGAATCCTGCCCCATCCTCACCCTCTGGGGTCAGGGTGCTGAGGTGGGGGGAGCGGCTGAGGGTGCCCCAGGGCTCTGCTGGGTGATGGGAGCAAGGGGACGGGGTTGTGCTCAGGTTGGGGCTCACTGCAGTGACTGCACTGAGCACCCAGCACCCCAGGATGGGGCGGGGGGGGGGGGGCTTTGGGTACCAGCTGATGGTAAAGAGCCCCCTTGGCCTGACCCGGAGTGTCACAAATGCCCACACCACATCTCCCTTGCCGGGGTGTCCCTGAGCCAGGGGCTCCTCAGCACCCCCGGGGCTTTGCTATGGTGGGACAGCACCAAACCAGGATGGTTTAGCTCAGGACAAGCCTGGGGATGTCTCACGAGCCAGGGTGGTCACTGGGACACCACCAGCACCGTTGTGTCATCGTCCCGTCCCCCCCCAGAGGACAAGCATCCCATGGGAGCAGTGCAGGGAGACCTGGACCAGCCACTGGGATGCTCCAAGTCATCAGCACAAAGCCCTTTGCAGGGGGGGAAACTGAGGCCCAAGGATGCCATGGCCAGGCAGGGACAGAGCCCAGAGCCCAGCGCTTTCGGGGTGCCCCCCTCCTGCTCCCCAGGGCTTCAGCAGCGAGCCCAGCACCGGCGGACAGCCCAGAGGGCCCCATCCGTAAGAGGCACTGAATGACCACGGCCGTGTCAGCACCCCCCCAGTGCCCCCCCCGGAGCTGCTCCTCTCCCACCCTGCACAGCCCAGACCACAGCATCGCCTTCCAGACCCGCAACGGGCCATGCCCGGGCCGATCCATGGGGTGAGGGGTGCAGGAGCGGGGACTCGGGACACGCAGGGACCGCCCCGGACGTGACCAGGTCCAGCCTCAGCACTGGGGTGAGGGGCTTCAGGGGGTCCTCCACGGCTGGAACGGTGTGGGTGGGGCGGGCACACTCACACACACACGTGTGCACACTCATACGTGTATGCACAG